ACACACACACACACACACACACACACACACACACATATATATATATATATATATACACACACACACACATACCACGCACACACGTGCACACACACAAGACGCTCGCGCACAACACACACATGCGCGTACACACAAACGCACGCACACACGGATGCACGCACACACGCACGCACACTACTCGTAATCTTTGCAACACTTTCACAACGGATTTTTTTCTTCGTGGTGAGCAACGCTTCATCAAGTTTCCTCACTTGCCTCTTATCTTTGGTAGCTTTGGAGCCAGTTTACGAGCCACCGTACTTCAAGGAGAAGCTCTTTGATGTTGAAGTGACGGATGGTGACTCCGCTCTGCTCATGTGCCACGTCAAGGGCGTACCCGACCCCGACGTCTACTGGTACAAGGACGGAAAGGTAAAATAGCAGAGCTCTGTGTGCCTGTAAACGTATGTATCGGCGCGTGCTTTAATTTCCTTACGTAGGTGCTCTGTCCGAACGTAAGGACTCTCGGTGTAGTTCGCTTGGGTGTGTATATATCCTAGATTTGCCCAAATACAGACATGAATATACTAGACATGTGCTATGATTAGTTGCAAGGTACAATTCTGATATAGATGAAAATGATGACGAACATAAACACATTTCTTTGATAAATACCTTACATTTACATCACAACAAGGACATTACATTTACATAATATTACGACAGCATTTACGTCACGTAATAACAAGTGACGCCATCATTTATTTATTTTTCTATTTTAAATTATTTAATGATTTAAATCGCTTATTCTTTATATCTTTTTTTCAGATGCTGGCGAGCACGGACATGATTGACATTCAGTACAAACAGGGCGTGTGCACGCTGGGCATTGTCGAGGTGTTCCCAGAGGACGAGGGAGAGTACACGTGCAAGGCTGTCAACGAAGAGGGCGCTGACCAAACGACGTGCCTCCTCGCTGTCACGGAGGAGCGTGAGTGTCATCATTGTACATCATTACATATCGTTGTGTGTCTGTGCGTACGTGCACGTGTGTGCATGTGTGTGGGTGTGTGTGGGTGTGTGTGGGTGCGTGCGTGCGTGCGTGCGTGCGTGCGTGCGTGCGTGAGCGTGCGTGCGTGCGTGCGTGCGTGTGTGTGTGTGTGTCATATGATTCTATGGGGGAATAAAAGCTGTAAGTGCATTTAAGTAGTATTGCGTCTGAAAGCCGAAGGATCTTATTAGACAATGAGTTTACGCCAATATTCGTTAATGTTTCGATCATCATTTTGAAATTAACGTGAGATGGCTATTGTCAATTACTTCAATATATTATATAATAAACCATATATCTTATTTTCGGTTGTTATTTAATAATTCGCTATACAAAGCGGTTCATAATGCCGAACTGAGCTTGCCATGCGTAACAGCAATCTATTCAACTATTGGCGCCGTTGGTCCCTTAGGTATGCACCTGGAACTGTTGCAACAGTGTACAGATACTATTGGTTGCACGCGATCGCCCGTGATATAAATGTTTTTCTTTTTACAGCTCCAGCAAAGTCTGGCCACACCTCCCCCGTACCAGGATCACCTCTTCGGCCCAAGAAGACAGCGTTCCCCACCGCTCCCGGAGAAGGTACGAAGGACCTCCCTTCCTCTCTCTCTCTCTTTCTCTCTCTCCCTCTCTCTTGTATTTCACAAATGTATTTTGTGTAATGTAATGAGTGTACGTGGGTAATATTAGTTTCCCAGTATTTTTTTGGTGTTCGTAACGGTTATTGGTATTAGTAACGGTAACAGTATTATCTGGTAACGGTTGTGTCACACGTCCCCTACATGCTTCTACAGAGAGAGGTCCGTCGTTTGCGCGCCACCTGGAAAGCAAAAACATCCGCGACGGTGACAAGCTTGTGCTGGAGTGTGAAGTCACAGGTAAGCGAGATTTGCATGCAGTAATTGCGAAGTGCAATAGTTGCAAGTTATTGAGATGATCCATTCCAATTTCCAATAATCTCGCGAATACCTAGTATCACTATACATAGTAGGAATGCGTGTATGTGCACGTGTTAATGAGTCCGTTCGTACGTGCGTGCGTGTGCGTGCGTGCGTGTGTTCGTGCGTGCGTGCGTGCGTGCGTGCGTGAGCGAGTGAATGAATATGCCTAATGTGCTCCTTAACTTCAAGGAAACCCGCTTCCCGAAACCATATGGATTCACAACGAGAAAGAGATAGTGGAAACACAGTTCCTAAAGATAGAGGAGGATGGAGGGCGTCACCGTCTGGTGATTGCTGAGGTTTACCCGGAAGATGCCGGCTCGTACGTCTGCGAGGCGTTCAACGTGATTGGAGAGTGTGCAACCAGTTCTAGTGTTCATGTTAAAGGTAGGTGGCGCTACATGTTTAGTGCTAAAGGCCATGTATTGCGGATACTTTAATATTAGGGTTTGTTCCGAATATTTGACGTGACATTATAGTGATTGTCTCTGTGCATGCTCCTTTAATGTTGTGACAATATGAACTAAAACATTAATTGAATATCTTAATATGTTAATTTATAGTAGTTGCGTTTATATATATATATAATATGCATATTTCTCAGTTGTGGATGTTTGCTAGTCTATTTGGAAACCGGGTTACAGTCCTACAGTTATATAACTGAAACATCTGTCGTATTTTTTAGGTCCAGAGACATCGGGCTTGCCGGAGTTCATGAGCTTCCCACGTTCAGCCACGACTGAAGAGGGCGCTCCTGTCACCTTCTCGTGCGAACTTCGCACGGACAACTGCACAGGTACGTTCATTGCCATTGTCCGCTTCCTGCACGCGCTTCACGCATTAATCACTGCGATATTTCCCTTGCGGTAACTTCTTACCTATAGTGAAAACGAGAGCAGGTGACAAACGCAGTATGAATACCTCACCAATACCATATAACGTCGTGATTAGGCAGCAACTGTGTCACTTACCGTGGCTTTACCGTGTTCGGTCCTTTCATGATAACCTCCATACTGCCAGGGACAGCAATAACAGATTATGCAAAACCATTTCATTTGCTAGCCATTAAAGCTATAATAAGGATTAAACAATCATGAACCCGTCATAACATAGACCGATCATCTATAAACATGGTTTTATACATTTTTATCCCACACGAAATTAGATGTAGTGTCTGTGTTCAACAGCTACTAGCGGTCATCATACTATGTCGATGCCTTAATCAAATCTAATTCATTCCTTATTCATGAAATTATTAGTAAACGTTCAATTCTTTGTTCGCATAAGATTTCATGATTATGTCGTGGTTAGGGCGAAAGTGCGGTTAGGCTCACGCATTTCAAGGGCTACGTCACCGTAGATGCAGCTTAGTGGTTCAGGTGATCACAACCTAGTCTATGGGAGTAACGTACTTCGGAGGTGGGAATTGCTCATCTCTGGTCATGCGTTGACCCTTTGTCTGCCCGAACATTGGATAAGCCATTGCCCCGTACACCAGGCCCTTTGGTACGACAATTGCGACAGAGTGAACTACGCCTCTATGTTACGTGCTATTCCATGACGCAATGTCGATGACCTTGCAGTGACCTGGATGAAGGAAGGTCGGGCACTCAAAGACACGGATCGCTACCGAATCAGCCATTCCCAGAGCAGCTCCCGATTCGAGATTCTCAAGGTCACGGCTACCGACGAAGGTCGCTTTACTTGCTGCGCGTCCAGTGCGGACGGAACCACCGAGGCGGCCTTCTCTGTCGAAGTCAAGCTAAAGGACAAGAAGTAGATCACCGTATTTCAGATGCAGAACGGCCAGTGTTCTCCCAGTTTGTGTGCTGTTAGTATATTAGTATTGTGTGCCACACGTAGCTTAGAGTCTGCTAGCTTGTATTCCCAATCCAGCCGACCTTGGTTGAGAACACATACCTAAATTTGCATCTCTTACGAACAAGTCGAGCGAGCTAAATTGCAATATGGATTTCGATGATGGTAATATGAGATCTGCATTCTTGTCTGCCTAGTGCGTAATTTACTGTAAGTTACATACCAGACGATCATGAGAAGTTAACGAATACGACATGTCAGCGTCAGCACCAATGACTAACCATGTGCCTTATTAAGATTCCGTCCATAAGTATCTAGTGCTTGAGTGTTTGAGCTTTAAAATCAGATCACACTTCCTTGCTCCGATTATTTAATTACTTATTTATTATTATAATGTATAATTCATTGTAGACCCCCTACGTCGACTCGGCGTGTGTGTCTTTTTGTTATGTGCGTATAATGCACGTACGTGTTGTTAATAATAAGATAAAAATTGAAAAAGTTCACGTTGAGTTACAGTCCCACAGTTTGCGTCTCCATCGTGTTTATATCTGGTCGCTGCACCATCGACGCATGCAGATAGGTGGCGCCGGTGAGAACCATTGTTTTCGCCTTGCTACGGCGGGCAACATGTATAGAGGGATGTTCGTTGCTGATGATGTATATGCTAGCACGCCCCTTAAAGAATCCGTTGATCTGATATAGATAGTCATTGGTTTTTCTGTACTAGCCCTAGAGTGTCGTTTGCTCTGATAATATCTCATCTCGGCCGGCGATGGTTAGAAAATTGAGCAGAATTGCGATGTTAGCACGTCATTGACGGAGGGTTTGTACGCGTAAAATGTTTTCATGTACATTCGTCGGTCGTCTGTACTGCTTGGATGCCGTTTAGACGTTCGTAGCACATGGGTTGTTATATTTAACGCGCACGTGTAGTATGTAGTTTAAATCAAAGCGATGCCTTACGTGGAGAAGTGGTGCTGGCGCTTGGGGTGACTGTTGATTTTGACACGAGATGAAGCAACGCTGGCAGGTGAGCAAGTGTCAGTGAGTAAAGCTTCTCACCTGTGACTACCGTGGCCTTATTAACTCTTAGCCAGCAACGGGTTAAATAAATATGGAGCGTGAAATTTTCGCAGAAAAATGCGACAATTGAGCGCGCTTCCAATGTATGAAATATGAATATGCGATATAAAGTAAGAGAATGTCGACTCGAACGTGTCAAGGCTACAGAAACAGGACGTTGCGATATCTGCTATAAAAGAGACACTAGCCACTAACATAATGAGGTGTTGCACGCTTAGAGAAGCGTGACGTATTTTGACCCACGATTGTCATGTTGCACGTGACAATATTCCTAATGAGAGGTTAAAGAGGAAATGACATTGCCAAGTTCATTGTGACAAAACCCTACAGTGACGTCCTCTGTTTTGATTTTATTTATTTGTGTGACAATTCAGTTTTGTGTTAGCTTCAAGTTATCACAGTGTATTTGTCTAGTCGGAGATCTGTACATTGAATATTTTCCTCAAACTCAAAATTTGTAATATTACATTTGTATTATGTCTGATCGATCATTGGTGCTATTTCTATCGTAACAATAACAAATATTATTATTATTATTAACGACGTCTTTTGTTATTCCTTTGCAGATTGCTATTATTTTTTAGTTTTTTTATTGTGAAATCTAACCTTGCTGTGAATTTAACGTTTATCGGCATTGCACTCATAAAGAATGTGAGCGCTGGTGCGCTGGGCGGTCGACGGAATCTGTAACATGTGTGCGGAAGTTTGATAGATGAACTCTGGGCGACATCGACAGGCTTACGTGCGGATAATACCGATATAACGCACGTGTCCCTATTCTCGATGTCGCACGTGATATACGACATATTGTCTACATCAGATTAGATCGCCATTATAAAACGCAACCAGTGTGGTCAACGGTAAATTGCGTTTGACTTGAAAATGACTTTTCAAACCATTTTTGAGACAAACCGCGCGTTGTGCTAGCTATCTTCGCCAGCACCGTGGCCGGCCAACCTCTGCCCCGCGCCCTCTCTCACAATACCCGCGACTGTGGTCCGCCCAACGCGACGCTCACAGCTCAATTCATTCAGGTGAGTGCCTCGTTCTCAGGTCAAACGCGCCACCGTATGCCATCGGCAACAGCCCGCCAGTGACGCGTGATACGCATGCACTGTTACCTACTGGCCTACTATCGCATCGAGAGGCAGGAGGCAGGCAAGCGTAGAAGACTCACTCGCTGATATCCCAGCAGCGCTGCGAGACTGTTTGCTGAGTGCTAGCAGCGGTCGCATCGTAAGATTTCTCCGTGATAGACTCTGCTTGTCTGGCGAAGCATCGCACGCACTCGCGCCCACATACCCGCGCGCGCACGCCGAGTGACATAACGGCTAGCGAGCTAATCTAGCGAGACTGCGGTGATCGTAAACGGAATTTCACGACTCGGACGTCCTGCGTAGTTCTTCTATCTCTACACACGGTAGTCGCCGCGGACGCGGTTGCCCTCCCGTCCTCGGTTCAAAGGTGAGTCGCATTTTACGTTCATTCCCGTCGTGCGTGTTTTCGCTCGCGTGTTTAGAAGATCATGTCTTCTCCGTCGGGTTTTGTGACGTGGTATTTGCGGAATGGATCGGTGTAGCGTGAGCTGTCGTAAAGTAAGTGGCTCCTCTTTCCCCACCTCCTTACTACGAAATGCCGTTGGGCGTAAGAGCGTGTCCACTGCCGATTCGCTATATTTTGGTTATATATATATACATATATATATATTTATTTATTTACAAAATTATTATATACATTTATTTATTTAGATAATTATTTTTATATATTCGGTTCTCAATGATACGATTCGATACGATACGACCTAACCGATATCATTTCGATAAACGCGGAATTCGCATTAAATGTAAAATTCTCTGTCTTCGACACATCTGCCTCTACCACCTGTGTACATCACTATTCTATATGCGACAGTCCTTCACTCAAGGAATATGAGGTCCGTGATCATCACGTGCACAAAATGTCCGATGTATTGTCGGTCTTTTTTTCGGTTCAGTGTTTACCGTGAAGTACCGCAGATGAACTGGTATAGTTGGTGTAATAGATAATTAAAAAAACTTTTGTTCTCATCCGTGGCAGTTATTAATTACCTGTCTCTTAGCCGATGATGATCAGAGGTCAACAGCTCAACGGAGTTTTATGACCCCCTAACCAGAATATTCGTATACGACTGCCAAATTTCTAATTCGACATTACTGCCTGGGTGATTCCAATCATGCGTGGATCCTTTCCTTACTGCACGCGATTAACAGAATGGTGAGAATAGCCTGGAGGATATTGGGGGGATTCGTCTGCACTCTAATTTTGTCCTGAATTGCGAGTAATCATAAGTGTGGTATTTATGACAAGGCTACAACCCCGTGGAAACAACGCCCGTTGCAGAACGCAAAGCAACAAAATTGCCGAGGCCTGTTATACTGCACGGGAGGCCAGAGGGCGGATAACACACGTGTAGTCAGTCCGTTTTGCCGTGTTGCATTTTTCCACTTTCTCATCTGCGTAGTTATCATTCAAGCTAAGCTATCGATGTGACATTTTACCATACCATTATACCATATATACCATTATACGGTTATATTATTTATAATATACCATGAGTTCATACTACTGCTACTAAATACTAGCAATAATGTCACATAAAGCAGTTAGCAAGCGAGTGGTAATAGGCGTCGACATGCCTATAACATCTATTTATATAGCTTGAAGAATTTGCGCGCATTCATCAAATTTGTACCTTTCAACGGCTAGACGCGTATGTAATTTCTTTGCTGTGGTAGGTAATCTGGCATGTAAGGGGGAAGGACCGGGGGCAGCAAAACCTTTCATCACAAACTAACTGGGTAGATATAGGTAGTAATCGCACGCATGCGGGTAGTGGCTCCACGCCATGTCTTTATAAACGGCGGCAGGTGGGAACCCCCCCCCCTCCATTTCATTTCGCGGCCATTTTCCCCCATCGACTGCTATATATTCTCAAGAGTACATGATAGTGATCTCTATTATGTACTCTTAATATTTCGTAGCCAACGTCCAGACACGAGTACATTCAACAAGCAAGTCCCCGCCCGAATGTTCATGCGTGCGTCTTCACGTAACCGAACTCAAGTCGCGCGTGATCGGATATAATAAGTATACTCCAATGATTACGCAGCGCGTGATTTTGCTCGTGCGTTTGCAAGTGTATTCAGGCCGGCAGCTTGCAACGAGCGCGGCATTATCGGTTCATGATACGCAACAAATAGCACGAGTTTCAACTCGAAATCTAAAGAAAACGTCGTCCAATCTACATCGCCGTCTACGCGTACGTAGTAACTACAACTATATAGAACCCGTTTTCCGGTCGGCAAAAGAAATTTGCTTGCTCCAGATTTCGTGCGCATATGCGTACGTGCCCACGTCCAATTTTAGTTGGCAAAATTAGGTTTCGTGTAGAAAGAAATCGCCGCGAGATGCGTGTCTTGATAACGTATGTAGCCTATAATGAGTGGGCGCTGGGTGTGCTCCACCCTAGCACATAATCACAGCGTCTCTAGGTATTGTTGTGGCTGTTGTAATGAGGCGAGATTCAACCATAGATGTCGCGTGTATAAATACCGCAGCGGGCTACCACCTTGGAATGCACGCCAACTAAGGAGGAGCAAGCTTGACAGACAAGCGAGCGCGTTGTCAGCAATCATGAGAAATGCTGCGTGCAGTGACTAACTCGCGCAGCATGCACATCCTTGTTATGTCTCCATCTGTCGCCTGCTTCTGCCTCGGTTCTGCTGAAGCGGTCCATGCCTCCATCTGTCGCCTGCCTCTGCCTCGGTTCTGGTGAAGCGGTCCATGTCTCCATCTGTCGCCTGCCTCTGCCTCGGTTCTGGTGGAGCGGTCCATTCACACACACACACAAGACAGCACACAAAAGTTCATACACACACACACACACAGCACACATACACACACGGGTTTCGTCGCACACACAAGCACATACATATACACACACGCCCGGCGCGCACGCACGCACGAACACACACCACACACCCGCACATATTCACGCACACACGGGAACACACACAGATTCACGAACAGCAAAATTCACACAGCACACGCGCACACCGCGCACGAAGACGCAACATGCGCGCGGCACGGGAGAACGTACACCCACCACACGGACTCCAACAACACAATAATACACACACACCCACGGGCGCGCAACGTCACTAGCGCCGTACACACACGCACGCACGCAACACACACACACATAGCACACGACAAGTGACCACTGTGGTACACACACAGCAACTACGTACACACATATAGCACGCACGTACACACACACACAACACAG